ACTCTCACCCATTGGGTTGAGACTCACACATCTCAGTGTCTTCTCACGCGCTCACTCCTTATCTCCATTTTTCCACGCAAAAAGATGACGGACATTAAAACTCAACTCCATTCCAGTTATTTATATATAAAAATACAATGTTGATAAAAATCCAGTCCACATTTTCATAACAACCTTAGTGCTCACATACGGGGACAGGCCAGGTTCATATCGAGTCTGTAATTTAGCACCAGCCCACCTATTCATTGCTGGACCTAAGCCAGATATTGAAAAAAGACCGGAATTTCCTAGCATTTATTACTATGCCACTTGAATCTTATCTTATTGGACTAAGATCATTCACTTTGTAAAGTAATGAAGCAATGTACTTGAGTAAATATGAATAAACTATACAGCAGCTGGCTTAAATAATCAATATGGAAACTGAGTGTAGGATCAGATCAAATGGTTTGTTTTCTCTTCATCTAGACCTGTTTTTTTTTTTTATCAAGCTTTAATCCTTGTTTCCTCTAATTTAGCCTCATGATTTAGTCCCAGATTTAGTCCATGTTTTGCTCACAAGTAAAATAATTATTGCTCAGTCTAGTTGCATAATCTCCCGTTGGATTGTAGGACTAATTAAACCAACAATAAATTAAACTAACTTCTTAAAGCTTTCAGATATGCCTCACAAACCCATAGGAGATCCACAACAGAAAAGAACCATTGCATTGTATTTGTCAAAAGATCAGCCACTCAAGAAAAGACCAACCACATTCAGATAGGATGTGCAGAACAACTCAGTTATCCAGGATTCATAGAGGAGGAACCAGAGGGATGTATTTAGGTCCATTAAATATGTTTAAAAACTTCACATCTACCAAAATTAAACATCCACAGAAATGCTGTCTTGTGTCATGGTGAGTTTTTATAGAATCTTCAGCCTCCTAGAAGGTCTGAATTGTCAATTGTAAAAATGTAATAATATAAGTTATGATTTTTAATCCTTAGCCTATTTCCAAATATTCATACACAGTGTATTTTGCATGGTTCCTGTATTAGTGCCAGTAATCCAGTAATAACTCATTTGTTTCGCATTGTTTATTTTACTTGAGCTGCATAGAATTATTTATAAATACAGTTGTGAAATTGTTAGTTTACAGTAGATGCAAGTATTTTAGTTGGGCCCATACTTTTAGTTCAGTTCTCTAAAAGTCACCAGAATATAGAAAATAATGTATATTGTGTGAAAATGTTCCTCATAACTACGGATCACTTCTTTTTATTTATTAACATTTACTGCGCTTTAAAAAATTCGGCGTTTTGCCACTTTGTTTCAGTTTAATTCTCTGAAAATCTCACTCAAGGTTTGGTGAAACGTTGGCAGTCCTGGGTTTACCACAATAGATTAAAACCCTGAAATTATGGCTTTAAGTTTCAGTGTGCCAACCCCAGATTTTTAGTGGCCCCATCTGGCCACCCCGATGAAACGTTTCTGGAGTCGCCACTGGGTGGCAGCAAGCTTAACCTAGCATAGCCTTGTTGAAGCACTGAAAGCTGGTTCTGTGCAGGTAGAGGAAGAGAGGATGACTTGTAACCGGGGCGTGTGTCTGAGTAAGGATACATATTTCCTCAAAAAGCTAAATGTTATTTTGTATTAGCTGAAAAAACACAAAACCTTCAGACGTAGAGTCCAAAGGTGATTCAGAAAAAGTCTTAGCAGCTGAAAGATGTGCAGGTGTGCCTTAATATGCATTGTAATACCTATGAAACGTCAAGTGAGTGGCACTGTAAAACTTAAGCGAAAGTATAGAGGGGGAAAAGCAGGTTAGAAACAATCCCTTCTTCTGAAATGAGCATTTGTAGCTCCCATTCCTTCACCTTTTACTAAAAACAGTAATGTCAGGAGGAAAGGAACTCCTGACCGATGTGCTGAATCCAGACGACCTTCAGCCTTCAGGACGTTATTACACAATAGGAATAAATATATAATTAATTTTAAAGGTATTGTGTAGGAATTTCTTGAATTTTTTAAAAGACCCTTCCCTCTCCAAATCTGCGTGCAAGAGCATATGCACGAGCCCATTTCTCCTGTAGAGTGAAAAAAGTATTCAATCGTTCACCCCAGTTAAATAAACGGAGATCGATGGATTTCACTCAGCCAGCACTTATAATATAATACACATATTCAGCCCTATTCTGCCTGGGCAGAGTGCATTCCCTTTACTTACAATGGTACTATACAATAATGGAAAATAGTCAACGTCAAAACAAATCACAGATACTTTGGTTAAACAGAAACGTGTTATGAATAATCCTTGAGAAAGAATCGGGCTTGTTTTCGGAAGAAGCTATGTCTGGTCTACAAACACACTCATGCAAGGGAATTGTGTTGTCAGGATTTGTTTGTGGATTGAGGACCCAAAAGCAGAGGCAGGCAGGCAGAGGTGAATTTTTAGTAGATTTAATGATGAGTACTGAAACAAAGTCCAAAACCGCAGGCAACAGGAATCCAAAATCCAAATGAAAACAAAGTCCAAAAAACAAACGAGAAACCAGGAGTCCAAAAATTCAAAGATCTAAAAAAAACCATGAAAACATAAGTCAAACGTTACCAAAAACCTAGGAGACGAGTAGGAGGAAGACTGATGAGGTTAGACGAGGACCCAGCAAAGAGGAAGTGAACAGAAAGAGCTTTTAAAGGAGACAGAGACAAAGAGAGGGCTAATGAGCAGATAGGAAACAGGTGAGCACAGAAGAAGAAACAAAACATCAGCTAGGGAAAAAGGAGAACACAAGAGCGCAGCAGAGGGCAACAAATGAAAAACCTGGAAGATTGACAATAACTAGAAAATACGACAAAATAATAATTAAACCACTAAGACTATAAAAGATTGAGAAAAGTAAAACTAAACACTCAAAAGAAAACATAACATAACCAAGACTGAAACAGTAACTAGGAATAAACTAGAGAACACAGCAAAATAAAAATAAAACCACTAACACTAGAAAACAAGGAGCAAAGCAAAACTGAACACTTAAGATAAAATACAACAGAACCAAGACTAGGACAGTAACTAAGAAAAAAACAAAGAACACAATAAACTAAGAATTAAACCATAAAAACTAAGAAACGAGGAGAAAAGCAAAACTGGATACTCAAAAGAAAAATATAAAAGAAAACAGAAACCTAACATGTGTTGCCTTGCATTGGAAAAAGACTGAGTGGAAGCTTTTATAGTGACTAAAAAGGATAAATTAATATATAAAGTTTAGACTTAGACAGACTTTATTTGTCATTATGTACACACAAGTGTATACAAAAAAAAAAAATCAGCTAGGGAAAAAGAAATATCAGTACAGCTCTCAAGACATTTTTTTAAAGTGTAGCCTTGGTAAAGGTAAGCAGCAGTAATAATGTAGACTTACGACTGTATAGTTACAGTTCCAAAATTCAGGGATTTATTTTTTTTTTAATATGAAATAAGAGAAATCTAAATTTTCCAACCACACTCCTCATGCACGCTCTGCTTAAAAGTTGCTGTTCTCTTCCCTCAATCACTATATAGAGCGGGGACTATATAGTGGACTCAATGACTGTCTCAAACCGTAGCTCATCACACGTATATGCCTGAAAGCATGCGCAGTAAAAGATAGCTGACTGAACGAGCACGTAGGATGGCCTTACGTAAACATATCACCAGAATGATTGACAATTAGGATGACCACTTATTTTGATGATCCACCCAGAAATAAAAGATTGTCCTCTATACCTTTAAATAGGGACTAAGGCCTTCTGGAAAAGAAGTACTAAAACAAAAGTCACACAAATGTAGTGAACAGCTGAAGCTCTTCATTATAAACCCTCAACATATGAAGATGTATCCAATAGAATGCACGTTAAGAAATAATGTGTTTTTGTTCAACTGTATGAGGTAGGCTGTGCCTGTCGTGCATAAAATTGTAGGCAACAGCATACCTCCTATGCAGCAGATAGAAATGGCAGAAGGCTCCTATGCTAAGTGAATTACAATACGAAGCATCCTTCTTCCTCCTCCGAACTCCTTTCTTTACAGGTTGGTTGAATTAGACTAAACAAGTTTTGCATTACCACTGTACTTTCAACATATATATAAAAAAAAAAAAAACTGGAAATGTAACACATTTGATTTTGCTGTGTAATGTGATTGCCTGATAGCATCTAAATGAAAAAATATTCCCATAATTTATAAAAGTACTTCCCTGCAAAAAAGGAATAAATAAATGTATCTACCATTGTTAAGTTCGTGGATATAAAATGCTTTGTTTGTGGATATCAATGAAGAAAAGGATATAAGGGCTACAGCCTGACCTGGTGAATTGAGGATTATTGGAAAATTGAAAAAATGTAAAATTGTCTCAAACTGTTCTGACAGATCAAGCTAAACTTATATCTTGAAAATAAGAGAAAAAAAAATTTAAGCTGTAGTGTCAGCAACAAAAATGCTCTTCATCACACAGAATAATGAAGGAAAACCTTTTCTTTACAGATGACTCTGTATATCTGTTTGTTGTCAATCACCCTCAGCGCAAAAGCCAGGTAGAGATCTTTCGTTTCATTGAGGAAGACGAACTTGTGCACTTAAAAACTGTTACACACCCTTTACTGCACAGGTATTTATGCTTTCTTCAGTAAATCCTGGTTTACCAAGAGCTATATTTTCAAATATCAATCTTTTTTTCTGCTTGTCTTTGTTTCAGTGTGAATGACATTGTTGCCGTTGGACCAGAGCATTTCTACGCCACAAACGATCGTTATACTGATTATGGTGCAATTCAGCTGCTGATCTTCGTCCTGGGTCTTCCCTTGTGTAACGTTGTGTACTTCAGTCCTGGTGAAGTGAGGGAGGCAGCTGGTAGCATGCAGTCTGCAAATGGGATAAATATATCTCAAGACAAAAGGTTATTTTCAGCCTCCTTTCACCCTTTTCAGCACCTATGTACACACTTTCCTTTAAAATTGCACCTCAGTTAATTACTTAAAAAAAAAAAAATTTCTCCTACTGAAAGGCATGTCATTTAACTGAACAGTATTGCACTTTCAGTTCCTGGTCAGGTCTCCATACCTATGAATCAAATGGAGCTTTGCAGGCTGGCATTGATCATCAGCCTGTGACTTTACCTACACTGAAGTTAAGGAAGTCTAGTTTGCATTTATAATGGCCTCCAACAATTAGAATAACGATTCTATAATACTATGTTTTTATTAAAAGTATGACCTTTTAAACCAAACTTATTTAAAACATTTTTTTGTGTATGTTTAAATAACTTTACAGCCGTTAATGCTGAAATAATTTGACAGATCCATTTTCTTTTTCCCCCAATAGGTATATTTATGTTTCCAATATGCTGGACCATGCTGTGGATGTTTTTGAGCGACTAGACGGAGAACAGTTGGTCTTTGTTAAGGTAAATGTTTTCTGTTGTTGGTAGGGATCTGGATACTTCTGCTTTTCAACAGAGCGTTTCTAACTGCTCCTGGTATTTTAGTTTTCAGTTTGCACCAGAAATCGGTAACTTGAACAATCTTTCTTGATTTTTATCTAAAAAAAGAAAAAAAACATGCAACTTTTTTTTTTGTTTCCTATTTGTTGCTTTTCAAATTGAAAACAATAGCTTGAAATGCTGTGATATGAGTTTTTGCAGAGCTCATACTGATCGTATCTGGTGTACCTTGTGCGTGTTTCTTCTGCACAGTCTGTCCCGGTTGGAACACTTTGTGATAACATCGAGGTAGATCACATGACAGGGGACGTCTGGCTGGGCTGCCATCCAGATGCCACTAAGTTGTCCAACTTTGATCTTAAAGATCCACCTGGCTCTGAGGTCTTTTTATATTTTTACTACTATTGTTTGCTTGATTTTATATTCAACTCTTATTAGTTTACCTACTATTGTTTGCTTGTTTTTATATTCAACCTTAGTTTAACTGTTATTAAATATAAACCTTTCCTGCAGATCATCAAAGTCAAGAACATCCTCTCAGATAAGCCAGTGGTGACCCTGGAGTATGGAGACAACGGCCATGAGCTGATGGGCTCAACTGTCGCCGCTCCCTACGAGGGAAAGCTGCTCATTGGCACAGCTTTTCACAAAGCCCTGTATTGTGATTTAAAATAAACTATTAACACATTCAAATATTATACCAGTAAGGCAGATCCCTGATGTAACAAGGAAACAGTTTCAGGAGGATCGAATAACATCGCAGCTTGTTTTTCCTGGTATTTACACCTACAGAACAGCTTGACACAGTTTAAAACATGTTTTTGGTGGCACTGTATTAGTCCTAAAATTGTGCAAGTCAGTTATTAATACAGTTATGCTGAGACGTTTTTTATGCACCCAACAGAGACAAAATTTGATAATTTCAGACTTTTACTAATTTTTAAATTGTTTTTTTTTCTTCTTTCACACAACAAGCAATGCCAATGAGGTCTAAAAGCAAGAAAAAGACAACTTTGTATTCATTGTGGATTTTCTCCAAGAATTGTACAGGTTCTTATATAAACATCCAGGTTTCTACTTTGTTTGGAGTGTTGAATGCATTTTTTTTTCTTCTTTTCCATGCAAAAAACAAAACCAAAAAAAAAAACAGCAATCTAATTATGCTTCAGTAATAGGAAAATGCATTTGGGCAGTGATCATTAGGCTTCATCTTTGTTTCAGTGTTTTTCTGTATCAGTATTTGTTTCTTACTGACTTAATTCTCACTCATAAAATTATAAACTACAATTTTCTGGAGTTTGGATCCAGGTTTACCTGGACCTGTGGTTCTATAGCTGAGACTGGTTAAAATACAAGTCTTACTGTAACACTGCTATTGTTTGAAATTTTTTTTTTCCACAAATGAAATGTTCACATGCTGTGCTTTATAGCAATCTTCATGTAGTGTAGGTTTACACTGTCGCTATTTGTCAAGTCGTGAGAGTATTATTTGTTAAAAAGCTGATTTAATTAAGGCCAAACTGCCCTGTAGCACACTCCAAAAATGTTCTACCGATACAGACAGACCCAGGAATCTTTTACATTGTTTCCAATAGTATTTACTGACAGGAATTTGAAACATTTTGGTTATATCAGGGCCTAAACTGTTATTTTGTAAAAAAAAAAAAAAAAAATGTTTTCAATTATAAAAAACAACTGATTATATCTGAGTTGTGCTTATATAACAGATTTCATTTGTCGTTACAGTTAAAATAATTGTAAGGTTAGAACAAAATCAGCTATCTTTATTCTGTGGGAATTTACTGTCCTGAGATCTACCAAAGTAAACCAAATAAAAAAAAAACATGTCTACTTTAACAAAGACTTAATTGGGCCACGAAGTGAACAAAGTTGGAAAAAAGTCTCAAATATTTCCCCACACCAGGACCAAGCAAAATTAAAGGACAAGTTAAAATAATAATAAGAAACCTAACAGATACAATAGGCTCTCGCAGCGCTTCGCTACTCGGGCCTAATTATGAAGGTGATTAATAAATGTTGAGAAACTAGTGATGCTGATTTCATGATGGGTTTGTGACGACAAAGACAAATAAGACTAAAAATGTCTTGTTTTTTTTAAGAATCTTTCATCCTTTTTCATCAAGTTCTAATTCCAGATCGATTTCTGCTACCTTAGATATTGTAAATCGGGTCTCCCCACCCTCAGGATGCTGCACATTCTCCTCTTCTGCAACATTTCTGTCAGGTGCCGTGAAGGTGATCCCATCATTTACAGACTCAGAGGAACCATCTTTGTTGTCCTCCTTGTGGTTTATTTTCTCCCATACTTCTGATGTGGGCTCTTTGATATTTCCCTGCCTTGTAAGGTTCTCTTCCTCCTGTTCTTTTTGGTCCACCATGGCATTCGCAAACACATCACTTAAACTGATGTGCCGCTTGTGCCGCGGCGAGTGCTCCAAGGTCCGAATGCTATTGCCCAAGATGTCACTGCAACTCTTGGAGCGGTTTATGATTATGTTTTCCGGGATTTTTTTCCTCTTTTCTTTGATTCCAATCTCTTTGATCACTGTGCTGTAGTCCTCGTCCTTCTCTGAGAGAAAGTCGAAGATGTCGACAACAGTCCGCTTCACTTCTTGACGTTGCTTCTCCTCTTCAGAGTCTGGTTCCTGCTCGTACAAAATTCTGTTCCTGTTCCTGTGCATCCGTTTCTTCTTGAACACTTTATGAGCTTCCACAACCATGTGGACATTCCAGCTGAAGAACAAGGACAGCCATGCCAGTCCCATGTACATCCATACCTCTGCTAAGACTCTGTAGAGTTTGGGATACTCGATATCAGGATTTACACCTGAAATGAGGCAATGAGCTGTTAGAAGTCCAATTCTTTTCAAATTTCACATTCATACCAAAAGTCTCACCTGCCACATAATCTCCAAAACCAACGGTTGTGAGTGTGATGAAAGAGAAATAGATCCCTTCCAGATAGCTCCATTCTTCCATAAACATGAAAACAATTGGAGGGATAACCAAATGCACCAGCAAACCCCATAGGAGGAATATGGCCGTACATGTCAGCTGGACTTTTTTCTGTTAAAGACAGTACAGAAAAAATATAGTAACAACGTTTTATATTCAGCTTTGTCATGTTTGTGCACAAAAGGATTTCACTTTACTTCCTCTTTTCTCTGAAAACTATATACTATATAAACAATTTCACAAAAGATAAGTACATGGTTTAAATGTAAGGATCGGGAGCTGTAAAGGAATTATTTTGATCAAAGTGCATTTATGCAGATATATGGTCTAGTCAAAGTCCAGAATCAAATCCCACTGAGAATCAGCTGCATGCCTTACCACTGAAACACCCTTTTTTATGAGAATCCCAGACAGCCGTTTGGCTCGGTCTCCAAAGAAGGAGCCCAGTGTACTTATCCACACCAGGCAGAGAGGGATCCCGCACAAGCCATACAGGATGCAGAACACGCGACCACCTTCTGTCTTGGGAGCAACATTACCATAACCTTAAGATTAAAAAAATAAAAAAAAGAATAAAGCAGAGCAGAGAGGATACCTTCAGTATAGTTTACAAACTGTTTATGAACGTACAGATAAGGTAGAAACCAGATTTATTAAAGTTATTAAAGTTTGTAGCTGGAGATGTTCAATAGATGAAGTTACAAATTACAAATTTAGCATCATCACTCGCAGTTCTAGTTCAAATATGCAAGGGAACCAGGGTGGGGCAAGTGTGTTTTTTGTTTTTTTTTCATGAGGGAGCAGAATATAATAATAATTCACACATTAAATCAGATTTCTCTGTACTGACTTGTGAGGAATACATTGAATTCCATTCATTTCTAAAACCTAACCGGAACCCTTCATAACTAACCCTAATCCCAACCTTAACTGAATTTACACCTTAGTACTAAACTTTACACCTAACCCTAAAAAAGCATTTGTATTCATGTAGTGCAGGCATTGGTCTCCATGATGTGCTGTATTTTATGGAAAACGTAAGAAATACACGCCCACTCACACACACAAAAACGTCATTCAGTGCCAAGGCTACAGGCTGACCCAGGCTTAAACCTGACTGCATTTTCTAAATTGTTTTTAAATGGACTGTACGGGGAAAACGTTAAATTGGTCAAAGGGATGAATCTGTTACAGTCTTATCTGTCAGCACGAAATCCATCCATCCATTTTCTGACATGCTTTATCCCAAGTGGGGTCACAAGGGGTGCTGGTGTCTATCTCCAGCTTTCTACGGGTGAGACGCAGGGTAAACACTGGACAGGTCACCAGTCCATCGCAGGGCAACACAGAGACAAACAACCATTCACACACACACTCACACCTAAGGAGAATTTAGAGAAGCCAAATAACCAAACAGTCATGTTTTTTTTGGACTGTGGGAGGAAGCCGGAGTACCCGGAGAGAACCCACAACTGCTCAGGGATAACATGCAAACTCCACGTAGAAAGACTCCAGGCCGGGAATTGAACCCTCAACCTTTTTGCTGCAAGGCAGGAGTACTACCCATTGTGCCCCCAGCACATAATCATCAGAAGAAATTGATTTGATCAAAAATTGTACATTTCATAAATAAGCGTATTTGCTCGTAGTTTAAGCAGGTAAATCAGACTTTCTATTGAAGAAATTTGTATATATGCAGTCAAAAATAAGATAGTGGCCTTTTTGTTTCATATTTTATATGTAAACCATCTAATTTGATTGACAAATCCTCTAACTCACTTCCTCAAATCAAAAGCATTATACAGTTATTACAGGTAGGCTTTCAGTACAGGGGCCCCTGGCTGAAGAACCCCTTCTAGAACCGCCCTTTAAAAAATAGACTTATATAATCAGTTGCAGCTAAATTATATTCAAACTAAAATAACTAACCTACAAAAGAGATTATATTCTTAGAATCAGGTAAATAAATGCATTTCTATTAACCCAAATGGTTAAAGTAGCTTAGTTACACAGCAGTAGGAACATATGGGTGTAATAAATACCTATAGTGGTGACGATGGTGGCAGCAAAGATGACAGAATTGCCCCAGTCCCATGTGTTGTGGCGGTTGTTTCCAGTGATTGCCACACCTTGGCCTGCAGCCTCAGACGCTATCTGTGAGATTAACACATGAAATTGAATCATTGGCGTAAATATCGGTAAGCAGTTGCTTACGGGCCCCCAGCCTCTTAGGGGACCTTTAATGACACCTGATAGGACCCCTTCTCAATTACAGATGTAATGGTGTGAAAAATTCCTCTTAAAGGGGAATGCCGTTTTATTATTTTACATTGGGCCCTTGATTTAACGTTATTACATCATGTTCTACTCACCCATATGAGTTTTGTGTCTTTTGGAGCTGTTCTGAAGATATTCGGTTTTGTTATATCCAAATAATGTCTTCGTATGGGCAAACGACTTGAAGGCAAAAACTAAACTGTTCATAATTTATTCTTTATGGTACGCCAGCATTCATAACATGTAGGCGAATCACTATCTTTTAAAAACAAAGCGTAGTGTGTATGACGTCATCCGCGCCCGCCGGCTACCGTTCATTCATCCTGTCCGCTGAACTGCTGCTAGTTTTACTCACATGCCTGGAAGATGTCTAGTGCTACTACCACAGATGATCTCGCTCTCTAAATGGAATTGAACGATTCAGATTAGCTCGCCGAATGAATGGAAGGGCTAGAGCAGAGCTGCCTGTGGCCCGGGCTGCCTGTTAGGACTCCAGTCCGGCGCGCTGATGACATCATACACACTCCGCTTTGTTTTTAAAAGATATAAATATAAAAAATATAAATATAAAAAATATAACCGCAGATGTCTGGAGGACATTGATTCGCCTACATGTTATGAATGCTGGTGTACCATAAAGAATCAATTATGAACAGTTTAAAGGAATAGTACAACCAAAACATGATTAGCCTTCATTTTCTACT